CCCCTAGGAAGCTACAGGCAGACCGGCGGATCCAGAACTATAAACCTACTGTTCAATTCGACTATTCTTCCAGCGCTCTGCAACAGCAGGACGTAACCGACTTTATGCCAACGTCAAATACTCTTCGAACAACCTTTAAAGCTCTGGAACAACGTCTTTTGAGGTTCAACCGGCACATCCACTATCTCATTGGACTTCGCAATTAGAACATCATAACGGTGCCTTGTCTTTGCAATCCAGCGGAAATTCTTCTAAGCAAAATATCAGCGCGATTCCATATAATGAGACAAGCGACAGACGGAACCGAAAACCCTAGAATGATTTTCTCGCGAAACAGATGCCCCCAATAGAGGTCACTAATCTGGGCTGACGCGTTTGGTACCAGCTGAAACAGACATAACTTAAGCGTAACGTATGGATCTGGCAAATGTCACCGCCGCAGTCAATAGAAACTGTGAATAAGGCTAAGCGAGAGACAGGAATGGATGGAAACAATGGAGCATGCACGATGTGAAGGTAGGCTAAGTAGGTAAGTAAGCAAGTAAGTAGATATGTAAATTACATGTATAATGCACAAATTATCAGAAGAAATAAGGTCAGTTTACCTGCTTCCTAACGCTTCCAGGAGCGCAACCTTTGACAATTCTAAAAGGATTTGCACAAGGAGACGTAGATCCTATTCGTGGTACACCAAGTAGATCACATATGGCTTGCAATTTCAAGCCCCTTGCAGTTTGGCGCCCCTAAATGTGGAATGAGATTAACACGATGACCGTTTCAATCAAACAATCGTATATAACTAACACAAAACACACCTCTTCATTGCATAACAAGTGCAAAAAATCACCTTGGTCAATCTCTGTTTAGCCGCCATACAACGTATATGATCGTCGAACACGAAACGTGAAGTAAGTAAGGCTTGCCGCTTCTTTAAAATTTCACATGTACTACGCTATACAGACTTAAATAGACTACCTTTTGTCTTGTCGGTTGGCCCTCAACAACAATGTGAAGCGATCTGCTGTCGGAGGGATCCCCTGCGATCTGAGTGTCCTGGAAAAACGCAGATTTGAGATTAATGAGAAGCGCGCACCTTCATTTTAATTTGTTACAAAATGGCGTAGGATTAATTAGATGAGAATAATCCTGATTAGTCATCATGAACATGACAACTTAAGCCGAACTATGAGGGTGCAATTTTAAATGTTGCAGGT